ATATTATGTTCTATGAAGACTTTGGTAGGCATAGACAAGGTAACTTTGAGAGGTTATGTTATTCTAGAAGTAAATGTACAATAGAAATAAGAATGTGTTACATTAGCATAAGAATTAGAAGTTATTCTGAAAGGTCATCTTGCAAGATCAGGTTTTTATGTTATGTGGAAGAGGCAATGTTCTCAATATCCACTGGGGAGAAGGAAATTCATAAATATTAATAAATGGAAGAAACATCATTATAGATAATAAAATACGAAGCAGCATGTGACTTGGGATGGTTTTTATTGTCACAATATGTGGTTGATATTCGGAAAATGTATCTTATTATAAGCTAGAGATCTGCATATTTATTTTCACAAATTACATCCTGGAAAACTTATTCTTGAACTTTTCTAAACTGGAAGAGCCACAAGTGCCACAAGTTATGACACTGATGACATTATAAGCAAAGGGCTTTTGCTTATTGATTATTTATTGTACTATTTTATGGTTTTGTCCTGCAAGCGCCTCATTATTTCTCTTTTAGATGGTGTATTTGTCTTTCAGAGTCTCCTTCCTTCTTCTAAATCCCTCTCAATCTTCATTCACATTACTGCTAGAAATAGCTTTCTATGGTCATGCCAGGCCAGTTACAATACTACCAAGGCTCTCTAATATACAAGAACTCAGATAAATTTCTTTTGTGGAATGTCTTCAGTAATCTATATTTGATACATTTTCCACTTCCAAAATGCTATTTTCAAAACATGAAGGCACATGAAAGTTCTTTTATTTCACCACATCTTGGCACTTTTCATATTCTTTTTGTTGGTTTTTTGGTACCAGTCCTGGGGCTTAAAAGCAGGGCTTGGGTACTGCCTCTGAGCTTTCACTCAAGGCTAGCGCTCTATCAATCACCGCAGCTCCACTTCCAGCTTTTTGGTGGTTAATTGGAGATAAAAGTCTCATGGATTTTCCTGCTTAGGCTGGCTTCCAACAGTGATCCTCAGATCGCAGCCTCCTGAGTAGCTAGGATTACAGACATGAACCGCTGACACTCAGCTCCAATCAATAAAAATAAACTATCTTGTTTAAGATCCATTTATTTTCTTTGTCTCTTATTATAACAGCAAGACTCTAACTTAAATTATACAGGACACTGTTGTGTTTGATTTCTTTTCATATCTATTTCTTCAAGAAGATAAAGTCCTTGAGAATTGTGACTCTCTCATTCATCTTTTTATCCTCAGTATACCCAAGGATATAATCAATAAAAGCTTCTTGAAAAACAAAAGGTAAGTAGACAGATACTTGAATACAACTCTTACTAAAACTGATCTTTCATTGTTACTGGATAGTTGTCATACTGGAAGAGCCAAATAGAAACAGTAGGATTCTAGGGGCTCATCAAGAAAAAAAAAAGAGGAGAGCTGATGTACCATCATCCTCAGGAATATTAGTGGTATTTTGAGATGATAGAGAAGCTTGCCTATTTATTTTTAAGGCTTGCGGGCTGTCAGTCATATCTTCAATACAATAAATTGCCAGAGATTGTCTTTAGGCAAAAAAAGTAGACTGTTAATTTGGTAATGGAAGAACAGAATGGCTATTTTTCCTTGCTATAGGTAGCTGATACATTGCAAAGAAATGTGGGACAGTCAAAACTTAAGAGAACCTAGATATAAGCACCTGCCTGACTTTTGTTCTTAAGGATTTTATGTCTTCATGGCTACAAGCACTCCATATAACCCAACAGTTTTAGCCTTTGTCCTAGATTCAGGAAACTCTGGAGAGACCTGTATGTTGCATTTAATTCTAGGAAGTAGACTCCAGCCTGATCTTTTGTGCTGATCCTCATCTTGACATATTGACTAATGATATAATGATATATTTGATATATTGACTACTTGACATATTGAGAAGTCCTTTGTCCTATGACTTTCACCACATTTCTTTGAGCTCTAACCCCTACGACATATTCATAAACACTATGCTTCCCAATGAAGTTTGTCAGTTGAGAGTAAAGAAAGGGTATGTTGGAATGTAAACAGAGATGACACAAAAGTAATGTGCTCCCCTAAGACTCTAACTGAGTGGACTAAAGAAATGAGTTGACAGTACTGAGCTCTATTTGAAGTATGTGATCAGTAGTATAAGGTAAACTAATGGTGTTGCTTCAGTTTTCTGGTTCAAGAAGAGAAGGTAGAAAGTTGTATTGAGTCAGAGAAAGCATTTTCTTAGGGAATTAAAAAAAGTAAGGAGTTGAAGATATCCAATGAATGACCCCAGGAGTTGATCATATTTAATAGACCATGAACTCTAACCCAGGTCAGCAAAATGAAGTCAATGGATAGATAATTTAATGGGTAGCAGGTTAATGAATGGAAGTTGTTTTGGAGCAAGGAATTACTAGAACTAGAGAATACTAGAAAATTAGAGGGTAATGCAGAGAAAGAATGTTGGGGATTGAGGCTTTGGGAAGGTCTAGGTCTGGCATAAGAGTCATAGTATCTCCTTCCAAGGATAATGAAGAACAAATTAGATATTTTTGTGAATCATAATTTTAGCTATGAAAGACCCCTTGCCCATATCTCTCTTTCTAATAGAGCTAAGAGAAGAAGGAGGTAGACTGATAACCAGCTGCTGGGCAGTGAACGGGAAGGGCACACCTACACTGGTTTTCTCCTAGGCCAGCTTCTGTGCACAGCTGGATGCTAGTGTACCTCCATCTACCTCTCTCTATTACCTCACTTGGACTTTGTTAGTACTGGGCTATCCTCTGAGACTTGCCATACTCATCCTTTCTCCTTTCACAGGGGTTATCAGCATAGTGTATGAAGATGGCTTTTCTCATCTACATCTGCTTCTTCCTCTTTTATTTTTCAGAGGCATTCCCCCCCCACTACTCTTGCATGTTTAATCTCATCATGGTATTTGTTTTTAGAATAAAGCCAAATACATAGTAGGTGCTGAATAGTTGTTATTCTTTGACATTATTATGAATAAATCCAGCCATTATGCATATGTGCCTTTTGTAAACATTTGGGATTTTGCTCTTAGAATCCCAGTAAACTTCTTGGGAAAACTTTGTCTCAGATGAGCCAAAGTGAAACATATGTGCCTTGTCAGTCATGTTGGGGAAGGGGACCAAGTGATTATCACAAAAATGTCAGCAACTGGTCAGATGTGATGATGTTTGCCTGTAATCCCAGTTAGTCAGGAGGTGGAGCTAGGAAAATCATCATCCAAAGCTAGTCCATGTAAAATTGCAAGAGCTTATCTGAAAATAAACTAAATGAAAAGGTCTGAGGTTATGGCTTAAGTGATAGGGAGAAAACAGGGGCTCAGCACCTGAGACAGGTAATTCTCCTTCAGATGTCCTCTCATGAAAACATTTTTAATCATATGGCCTTTTATTATCTGGTAACTAAACTAACTTTAAATGAGTCTTTGAGGAAAAGTCAACAAAGAGGAGGAGGAAGATGAGGAAAAGGCAAGAAGTGTGAGTACACAGCAGATCTTCTACACCCAAACTGTCCTTGTCCTTTACTTATACTAAATGGAAAAAATAACATAAAAAGGATTTATCCCCCACAGTTAGCTATCTCCCAAAGATATAGGTGTGTTTGTTGGGTACAGGGATAAAATGCTGGCATGAAAAGATGTAGATCATACTTCATAAAGTTTTTAATGTCAAAATACATGTTAGACTTCAGAGTAAATATTAAAGTCAAACAAGATTTCAAAGGGGTTGAATTGATATGGGCCTGTCTTAGTAGTTTTAGAAAATGGAGAGTCCAGATATAGAATTACTAAGTACAGAAGCCTAGAGTTAAGCCAGCTTCCACAGTTAGCATTCTTAACTGCCAGAATATCTTGAAATCAAATGTACTTTCATCTGGAGTTAAAATATCTGTCTGGAAAATAAGTAATATTTTGCCATACAACTAAACATTCTTCTTGTTCTATGTATTTCATAAATTAGGTTTGACACAGGAGTTGTTTTTTTTTAAGGAAAAGAAGACATTCCCCAAATTCATGGAAGCCAGAACAAAATAAATGACCAAAGTAAGCAAATTTGGCTTTATCCATCATGAATGAAGGCAACGATTGTCCAATTGTCAGTTTAAAAGTGAAAGAAACACTCATTTACATTCGCTAGCTATAATAACAGACTCATACTAGTGAAAACTCATCTCGTATTTTTAAAATCTTTTCTAAGTTTTGAACTGTTAATTACTGGTTTCAGCTTTAAAATCAGGATACTTAAGTAGCCAGCTAACCACCAGTAAGGAAAAGAACAATTATTTAAAGGAGAAAAACAGCAAGGGTTGTAGAAGCGCACGCTACCTTGAAGGTAACCTGACTGAACCTTCATTCCTTAGCCTGCACGTGCATGTGAGCACGTGTGCATGCACACACACACACACACACACAGTAAGAGAGACAGAAACAGAAACTAGTATTTATCTTGCAAATTTTATCTCCTACACATTCTGGGCCTTAATCCTTATTAAGAAATATGATTGGAACCCACATTTCTTGACCACACAGTGTCTTTCAAAGAGTAAGAAGCTGAGGCCTTCTGATCCTTTCCATCTTTCTTTCTCCCAGCATCAGGGATTATATCCTAGAGACCTTTTGCATCTCTCATCCTGGCTTTCTCCAGAAAACTTGTAAAGCTTGTTTTTGATGCTTGCCTTCCTGTGCTCAGAAATCTTCAGTCTCCAACCCAATACATGGGAAATATAATATTTAGCTCAATATTCATGGTTTGATTTTTCTCCTATTTTTGTGGTATTTTTCTATCATAAAAAGAATATTTGAACCAAGTCTCCAAAAGTCCCATGCACTTAACATTTACCTGATTTACCTGGTATGTGTATACGTGTGTGTATATGTGTGTGTTATGTGAGTGTGTGTGTATGTGTGTATGCACATACCCTAGGCAACATCTATATGTCAGAGCCTGACTTCATGAGGTATAGCAATTTCTTACCATTAACCAAGTCACTTACCACTGTTTCGAATCCTTTCTTCCAGTAGATCAGCATGTCCTGCTGGAAGTTTTTTATTGAAAATCTCCGCTGAGCGGAGGAACATAGCTTCAACTGCAGACCCTTTCAGCAAAGCAATCTGATCCTCATGATCCAATGTCTGAAAGCCTGGGTAAAGATGATCAACAAGTATCAAGAAGATGTCTTGGCACAACACTGTATTTCTCATTGCATATGTATGCTACTTCATAGATAGGACAAGATTTCATCATCACCATTGGCAAAATATCTCCATGACATGATTTTGTTGTTGTTTTACAGTTGAATGTTCAAGTTGAGTCAGTGGTGTATCAATTGTAACCTCTCCAATAGTAGCTGACTTTTATCTTCACTGAATAGGACTTCTCAAGCAAATTAGATGAAAAGAGATGTCAAGTCCATACTAAGTGCACAATGTATTATGACAAGACAGACCAACTCAGAGGAAGCAGCCCTCAGGAGCAAGGTGTTGGTAGATACTCTTTGAGTCATTATTTCTGCTACACTGGTTGTACAGGTTCAACTGTGAAGAATAAAAGCCTCCATAGTCACAGGGGAAAATATCTATGTGTATCCAGAATATTTAGCTGAATTATGACTGTTTAGTTAAAATTTGGAGGCTAAGTAGCACCCCAATCCATCCCTGTCCCAAGAAAACCTTCAGGATCATGCTGAGGTGTCTCTTCTGACCTTAGAATTGCATCATACAGAAAACAGACACGTACAGGAAAGAATTGCCAACCTGAGGGAACATAACACCTCCTGGAAAATAGAAAGTCCTTATCTAGTCTTATATGGCACAGTCCCCAGCTGCCCTCTGACCTCATTCCCTGTTCCTGTTTCTCCTCACTCTTGGCGCTTCTGTCATGACGTCAGGAGAACATGCCATCAGGTCTCTGCTCCAAGGCTACCCCATCTAAAATAACATTCCCAGTACTCACTGGTTCTTACTCATTTAATTTCTGTTCATAAAACTAACTGACATGATCATATGGATTTATTTGCATATTTGCTCATGGTCTTCTGGGGCAGAGGCTGTCTGTATTGCTTACCTTTGTAGCCCTTTTATCCTAAGAATAATTAGATAACCGAATGACAAACTGAATGAACAAATGAATGGGAAACAAACACAAATTTATGCTGGTACATACACAATAACATAAATAATGTCATCATGGACTAAATGGCTTAGGGAAGGAGTAAATAGCAATTGGAATTTAGAGAACAGAGCAATGTTAAGGGTTAAGAATTGGAATGATTTCTTACTTCACACCTGGTCTCCAGTACCCTGGACAGTGCCTGGCCCAGTATATGTGCCAGGAATGAAATCGAAAGACTCAATTCCATTTTCCCACAAAATACCTTTCATTATTGGTATTACATTGCTATGATTACTATCTGAAAAATATTGGCACTAATGTAATTATTGCTGAATAAAAAACTTTTTTTCTCAAGGGTGTTTTGTCTTCTGTTTCTACACACACACACACACACACACACACACACACACACACACACTCACAAACACTTTTCCTTCTGCTTTACTCTTTGGGCATACATTAATGGTATTCTCCCTCAGGAACTAGGCAATCTATTGGGATTAACAAGATGCTAAGATATTGCCACTGCTTTCAGGTAAGCTACTTCTTGAGATTATTTTTGTCTTCAACTATATTTCAGTTCAAGATCAACTGACCATTTGAACTGAAAAGAAATCTTTTCCCATAGATGGCCAAATATATCCTATTTCTCTACCTTTTTTCATTTCTTCTTCTTCCATAGTTTTTCCTTTGTCCTTTTTTTTGTCAGTCATGGGCTTGAACTCAGGGCCTGAGCAATGTCCCTGAGCTTTTCTGCTCAAGGCTAGCACTCTATTACTTTGAGCCACAGCTCCATTTTCCGCCACAGTTTTTACTTTTGTATAATCTTAGTTTTTGATTAAGCTTTCCTTCAGTTAATTAGCATATATCAAATTAAGTTTCTCTCATTGTTAATAAAGTAATGAGAGAATATTAAGGTTTCAATGATAGTGAGAATTTTATTCTCCCATTTTATGAGTTTATGTAGACTTATGTTATCTGTGACACATTTAATAAAATAATAGCAAAATGCTGGCAAAAGGAAAGCAGATTAGCATGTCTAATTAAAATCCTATGGCAGAAGTTACCTGCAATTTGAAATTACAGTGTTAGGTTGCAGTACAAAGTGTCTATTATGCTCTCTGGATCATGGGGTTATAATGTATTAATATCTTTTAAGACACTGAGATAATTTAAATTTATCAGTTTAGATAGCATCAGCAATGCGACAGAAAGAATAGTAGGCTAAAGGTGAAACTCTTGCTTTTCAGTTTTGAACTGGTATCAGTAGATTGAGTGTAGCTAAATCCCTCTCCTTCCTTTCACACAAATTATTGTTCATTAATTCCTACTAATTTTTAATCTGTCTTTATTTTGTGTTCCTTTTTTCTCTCTCACTGCTATTGCTTGGTTTCAAACTCTCTGGCTTGGACTTGTAGAGCAGACTTGGAACTGACAGCCTCTGCCTCCCATTTCTTTTCATTTAAACCATTGTATACAAATTTTATAAACTCATCTTCCTGAATCAATTTTTATAAACATTTCCCTCTCTGAAAAAGTAAAAGCCACCAAAACAGTTTTTACCAACCAGCAGACAAGAATTAAATCCCCTCGTTAGGCCATTATTCTCTGATATAAGCTTAGGTTTTTTTTGTCTAACCGGGAAGCTTACCAAAGTCATTATGTTACAGACACACTGAACTTTTCTCCCATGTCTGATAATTATGAACACAAGTGGTCTTGTTCAGAAGATCTCTCAACTTGGAATGTCCCTCCTCTGTGCCAATTGACATACTCCTTTTTGTAAGACCCAACTCAAATATAATCCTCTCCAAAGGTTCCTTTTCTCTCTCAGACACAATTGGCAACTAATTACTCTATATTCAAGCAGTTCTTTGTCTGTGTTTATATGTTTACCAATGTTTATTAAAACCTTTAATTGAGCATTATATAGAAAATATATAATAGTATATATATGACACTCAAACCATTCTCCTTGAGAACAGCTAAGCACTTAGTATAGAATGATTAATCAACAATAAGTACTGAATGAATGAGTGAAAATAACAAAGCTTCAAAGTCCCTATTTTTATCTGTTAAGAGGAGTTACTATAAGTGGTTTTAAATATCCTTTCTGGATCTCAATTTTTTTTTTTTGGTCGGTTGCTGGTCTTGAACTCTGGGCTTGGGCGCTGTCCCTGTGCTCTTCAGCTCAAGGCGAATGCTCTACCGTTTGAGCCACAGCACCACTTCTGGTTTTCTAGTGGGTTATTGGAGATAAGAGTCTCACGGACTTTCCTGCCCCGGCTGGCTTTGAACTGTGATCCTCAGATCGCAGCCTCCTGAGTAGCCAGGATTACAGGCGTGAGCCACTGGCGCCCGGTTTCTGGCTCTCAATTTTTATGTGTATGTAACCAGACATATTCATGCATATTAATGAGTGACTTGCATCTTTTTATGTACAGAGTGCTGGGAAATAGAGCAGAGAAATAAGTACATGTTAAAAAAAACACTTGATAATAGAAAATAATGGTAGATATGAACATACAGGATGGTTGTAGGGATTGAATTAAAAAAACACTGTATGCAATGTGGCTGATTTGTGGCACATTTCAAATACTCAATAAATATTAACTTTGATCATTAAGGAAGAAAATACCTGGCAGCTTTTTTGTGAATTCTACAAGAATCTGCACATGACTGGTAGCCATTTCTGTTAAAATGAGAAAATTTTCTTCTGCACTGAATTCTTCTTTTAACTAAATTTTAAGAAAAAAGCAAATGATTATTAAGTGATTATTTTTAATCATATACAATCATTAAAGGAAAGCAAAACAGACTTATATGATAACATTTAAAGAGCCAATTGTATTCCTCAGATCTCTGGAAGAACCATTCCATTGGCAAGACATATGCAAGACTTTCCTTTGTTCCTGGGTACTACTGAAAGAGTAAGTCAATAGCTTAAGTTCTCAGCCCAAGTTATACATTCACATGCAGATTGTAAAGATTCTAGTGAGCGCTAACTTTAAACAAATGTATTCTCAAGTAGGGCACATACAATTTTATTTGTTATTTCCTGAGGCATCCTCTGTTTTCTATATGAATCCATGATGTAATGGAGAAGATTCTGTTGATCTGGACTGAGCTCAGTTTTCTCCTGCACTGGCAAGAAAATACAAGGTGTTAGGGAGGTTGGTGATAAAGTTTTCTTCCTACACGTGCATTCATCTAGCAAAGTATTTTGAAAAGTCCTAAATACAGTAATTATGAGTGTCAGCCTGCTTTCTCTGAGTCCTGGCACAAATAATATCATTATCTCATTAAATTGGTTTCAAGTGGTTTATCTCAAGTTGCCCATCTAGAAAGAATAACAGAATATTTCCTTCACATATTTCCTGGGAATAAATAAGAATATGGCTATGGAGCCTACTGAACCTGCTCATGTTGAAGGTCAGTGAAAATTCAAGGTTTAATCATAACAAAGGAAATGAAAAATCTGATATCTATATACAAGACAAAGGGTAGAGAAATATAAAAATGACATCAGGGAATAAACCAAAGGAAAAATGAAAGAAAAGAGAAATATCTACAATCCCCCCCAGTCTGGTTTCCATTTCTTGGCATTCACTTCAATAAGCATCATTTGATATGGTCATATGCACATAACTATTGAGCCATCGTCATCCTCACCTAAGAATATCCTCCCCTTTGTTTTCACTGTGCAGATGCTTAGAGTGCTGTTTCATTAATCATGTTCAAGTGTAATTATTTTTCTTTTACTATCCACTGAATTAACTTGTAGACTTATAGATATATTCTAGTTAATACAAATGAGTGAAAACATGCAGCCTATTTTTTGGGGGTCTGGCTTACTTTGCTTAATATAATTACATTTATCAAAAAAGAAATATTTGGCTACATTTGAAGTTGATGAGATGTGAGATTCGAATTTAGAAAGTAACATTAAAATTTTGCATTTTAGTTAATAAGTTAGAAAGCTAAAAATTGGTGATACTAAAATCATACTTGATTTATGAATACTGTAAGAGTATATTACCTGATGATTCATTTTGTGGACATTACTAGAAGTTACATGATTTCCTGGGGATCAAATTCAAGTAGGGAACAAAAACATCAAGCAGCAAGTCAATTTTAAGCAAGGAACTGTAGGACATTACAATTTATGTTTTACAAATGGATAAAGTCTAATTCAAGATACAATGAATGAATAATTTTTAAATAAAATGTCCCTAATCTAATGATTCTTTGTCTTGCTTATACAAACAATGGACATTTATTTAGTAATACAAACATGGACTTAAAAAAAAGAAAATGATGGACTGGAAAGGTGGCTCAGCTGTAGAGTGCTTGCCCCACATGCATGAGGCCCTAGGTTTGATTCCTCAGCACCATATAAACAGAAAAAGCCAGAAGTGGTGATGTGGCTCAAGTGGTAGAGTGCTAGCCTTGAGCTGAAGAGCTCAGCCACGGCACCCAGGCCTAAAGTTCAAGCCCCACAACCGATAAGAAAGGAAGGAAGAAAGGAAGGAAGGAAGGAAGGAAGGAAGGAAGGAAGGAAGAAAGAAAGAAAGAAAGAAAGAAAGAAAGAAAGAAAGAAAG